ATATGGATAAGCATTTGCAAGAGGCTTTAAAGCAAGACAGGAGTGAAATAAATCTCATTTCACTGTCCTATATCTATGGGGTGCAGAACTCACTTTTGAACAAGACACCAGTACTTGCATGCCATTAAAACAGAAAGGTGAACTGGGACAAAACTAAATTTGATCCATTTTCTGAGACTTCAACTCAACCAAAAATGCATTTGGTTAAGATTATTAACTCTCCATTCATAGTTTGGATAAATTTTTTCCCTTCTGCCACATTAAATGTTACAAACTGGAAGCCCCTGGGGCTTGTTTATTTGGAGGCAAGCATTCTTGAGTAGGTGAGTGTAAGAATGTTTGACGTTTCTTTAAAATCGTTCCATCCTCTCCAAATTCTAAGGGCACAAGGCCCACGAAAACAACCAAAGACAAAATAATTATAAACTGTCAAGAATATATTAGGCTTTTAAAAAGAAAGAAAGAAAATGCAGCAAAATAGAAAAAAAACAGCAAAAAGGAAAAAAAGAGTTGGCTGAAGAAACTAATGGAAGAAGAAATGCAGTACAAACCTGACATCTAGTGGCAGAACAATGTAATTATTATATACTTTTAAAAAACTCATAGGCTAAATTTGCACATTATTTACTATTCTTGGACCTACTGGTTGCATTTGTACAGCATGATAAGCTAGGGAAACTTTTCTGCATTTTTGCATGTTGCAAAAGCCCTGCTAACTTATGGTTCAGTGACACTTGCAAACTCAAAAAAAACAACCCAACCCTGTTTAATTTGTTAATTGGGGAAAGGGTTCTTTGGATGCAGCGATAGAGAGAAACGTGGTGTTCCATAGGAGAAACATAATGTTTATTTTCTCCTGCAACTGGACTGCTGTTGAGTCAATTATCTCATTTTCCCCTATACCACTATCCACACAATCACATCATGATCAGCAACAATTTCAACTAAAATTGATCTTAATTAAATCAATTTTAGATCTGGATTAGGAAGAGATATTTGTATAGTGCACAAGTCAAAAAGAGGGCTGTGAAAATATCTACAGACCCCTCACATCCCGGACATAAATTGTTTCAACTTCTACCCTCAAAACGACGCTATAGAGCACTGCACAACAGAACAACTAGACACAAGGGGAGTTTTTCCCCGAAAGCCATAATTCTGCTAAACAAATAATTCCCTCAACAATGTCCAACTATTTACTGAGTCTGCACTACTATTACTATTAATCATCTCATCCTTCCTTTCACTCATCTCCTCCTACTTATGACTGTATGATTGTAATCTTGTTGCTTGTATCCTTACGATTTTATTGACTGTTTCCTCGTATGATTTGATTGCTTATTGTATCTATAACTATTATAAATTGTTGTACCTTATGATTCTTGACAAATCTATCTTTTCTTTATGTATACTGATAGCACATGCACCAAGATAAATTCCATGTGTGTACAATCTCACTTGGCCAATAAAGAATTCTATTCTATTCTATTCTATTCTATTCTATTCTATTCTATTCTATTCTATTCTATTCTATTCTATTCTATTCTATTCTATTCTACTCTACTCTACTCTACTCTACTCTACTCTACTCTACTCTACTCTATGTGTCTGTTTCCTGGAATCAGGAAAGTAGAGGTGGTTTTTCCCCCAAGGAGGAGAAAACTGTCATTTCCAGTTGCCAAATCCCAATTTAATTAGTGCTCACCTGTCTTGATAAGGAAAGAAATCTTAGAAAGAAAGTTCTGCTGTTTCTGTAACCGCAACTTATTGTTTTGCAAAGTGCGGCTTCTTCTAATGAGTCCCAGACAGTAAGCTGTCTAAGCAAGTCACGTAATCGAACAGAGTTGATTTGCTTAAACTCCTTTGCTGTTAGCAAAGTGCAGAGTACCAGCTGTAATTACAACCTTTGCAAGAGTTATTTCAAGATTTTTATCTGCCAACAAAAGAGATGTATCCAACTCTTCTGCCCACCCAGGATTCTGCAAACTTATGGGAGTGGACTGGAACTCTTATAACCCCAGCAATAGGCCAGCACTTAAGAAGGAAGTATGAAAAAAAATCAAAGAAATGGCTCCAGGTTGCAAAGGAATTCTATTAAGTAATCTCATTAAATTAATTTACCTGCTCTCTTCTAGGTTGGAGTTGGGGTTTTTCATCTCCATCAAGGCACACCCGAATTTCTGAGGGACAAAGAAAAGAAAGAGGCTTCCCATTAGGGCCACGGACCCCTCAAAAATAATTTAGAAAATGTGCAGCAGGCTTCAGGCAGTTGTTATCCTCCTGCCGCTAATTAAAAACTTCCTGTCATTTCTCCAGCATTCACAGCAACCTAAAGGGGGTGGGGGGTGGGGCTGTTTTAAGAAACAGATTGATCAGAATGAATATAACTCTTAGAGCAGCTGCAAGATTATTATTTTTTCTTCCCAGGTCTGGAAATTTTTTTAAATTTTTTTTGAAAAGACCAGCTTTGCAACGGTCCAAAATGATTTTTTCAAAATGTGCGCTTAGTGCAGGGGTGTCAAATTCAAGGCCCGTGGGCTGCATCCAGACCATGGGGTGCTTAGATCTGGCCCACAGGGCTGGCCTGGAAACAGCAAAGGACTGGCCCGCGGTGCCTGTGCCAGCAAAAATGGAACTGGGTTGTTGTTTTTTTTTGCATGTACTTCCCATGCCCCGTTTTCAGCCATGATGGCCTCCTGCAGCCCCTCTGCCTTTTCGCTGGCAGAGGGCTAGCGAAAGAAACTAAAAAGAAAACAAAAGGAGAAATGTTTGCATTTGAGCATGCAAGAAGGGACAGGAAGGGAGAAAGGGAAAGAGGAAAGGTAAAGAAAAAGAAGGGAAGAGGGGAAGAGAGCGAGGAAGGAAAAAGAAAGGAGAATGAAGAGGGAAGGAAAAAAGAAAAGGAAGGAAAGAAGTAAGGAAGGAAGATTATAATGAGAGTGAGGGAGGGTCTCAGGGAAGTCCTGCCTTAGCACTTGGCCACCACAGCCCCCCCCTGCCAACACGAGTGACGTCATGCCCACCTTGACCACGTCCACCCCCGGCCCTCCGAGGTCAAACACAACCCTGATGCGGCCCTCAATGAAATCGTGTTTGATGCTCCTGGCTTAGTACGTATATCAATGTTTCCCATTCTTAAGAAGTGTGGACTTCAACTCCCAGAATTCCCCAGCCGGCCATGCATGACAGTCCACACATCTGAAAGATGCCGAGATTGGAAAACATTTGACCAAAAACCAAACAGAGACCATCAGCACATTGTAAACTGTGTTTAGCGTGCACCTCTGGGCAAGTCGGTGCATTTTGCCAGTTCAGCTTATCGGGTGAGCTGCTGGCTCGACATATTGCATAAACCTAAGAAATTAGGTCAAAGCAGTAACCCAAATGAAATATAGCTGTGCAAAAACAGCTGGGGAAGGGATGGCCTAACTATCGAAGGTGGCTTTAATTCAGGAGTCCCCAAACTTGGCAACTTTAAGGCTTGTGGACTTCAACTCCCAGAATTCCTCAGCCAGCTTATGCTTGCTGGAGAATTCTGGGAGTTGAAGACCACAAGTCTTAAAGTTGCCAAGTTTGGGGACCTCTGCTTTAATCCATTTCGGTATGGATTAGGCAGAATCAGCTGGTTGAAATAGATGCAATTCGGTGGCTACCAGAGGTGGTATTCAGCTGGTTCTGACCAGTTCTGGAGAACCGGTAGCGGAAATTTTGAGTACTTCGGAGAACCAGCAAATCCCACCTCTGACTGGCCCTGCCAACCCCATCTCTTCTCCACCTCCCATTGAGTCCCAGCTGATCGGCTGGGTCTCCTTTGGTTGCCCTGCACAGGAAAATGGAGCAGGAAAGCAGGTTAGTGGGATGGGGAGGGAATGGGGATTTCGCAGTATCGTTCCCCTGCCACACCCACCAAGCCATGCCTACCTCTCCATTCTCCGGAGGGTCTCCATTGCCGAAGGTGCTCGTGACCACCAGAACCAGGGTCTCATGTTCCAGGTGGACGGTGTCATACTCATCCATCGACATCACCTGGAAAGAGAAAAGTGGTAGCTTCAGAAGAACGAGCTTTGAAAGCCACCAACGGCAACTGATCAGGTGGCCTCCAGAAGTTGCAGTTGGTGCTGCATCCCTGGAGGTTTTCAACAAGATACGTGAACAGCTGTTTGTTCAGAAGGGTATGAGGGCAGGGGGCCGGATGAGAAGACCTCCATCGCTAGCATTCTGTAACTGCAAACATGCACCGATATGGACATTTGTGTGCGACAGTTTGGCAATTGCCTTTTTCTTCCCAGGAGTCCTTGGGAGTCTAAAAGCACAAAATCGCAGAGAAAGGGCTGCCAGATGGCGACATGCTATTTAAAAAGTAGCTGGCTGCCCTCTGTCACTTCCCTTTTTTCCCCTTATGATTCAAAAGGCCATTTTTTAAAAGCTCCATTTGCGCCTGCAATCTTTTCTTTTGCCTGTCAAATCAGGAGATCCAAGCAGTTCAAATAAGCATAAAGATTTATTGCAAGCGTAAGCTCTCTACAAGAATCTGAACCACTAACAGTCAAGGGAAATGAGCGGGAGATAAGAAGGAAAATTCAAGGCGGGCTGGATTTAGGTCTCTTGTGGGAGCGAAGGGACTCGTGACTGATGATGCCTTTGACCCCTCCCTCAGTCTCAGCCTGGTCATCTCCTACATCGCCAAATGAAACAAGTGGTAAAATTCACTTCGGAGGAGATGCAAACTAACTCTGGGAATTGAGAGGCATTGAGACGGCATTGTTAACATTGCAGATGCTTTTAATTGATCTAAACAATTAATTAAACAATCTCAAAAAGGATGGTTGCCCAAAACACAACGTGTGGATTTTCAAGGCTAGTCTAGGAGAGTTTTGTATTTCAGACTCAAAGAAATTTGGGGCAGCTCTGAACTTGTTGGGAATGGCAGTGTTTGTTGGGCCACTCACTCTTGTAGTCTCTGGTGATTGCTCAAGCAAGTTGAGATGCTTACCTTGGCGTCAAAGGCATGCTTGAAGATTTCACACAGCGTTTTTGCATAGACCTGGGATTTCCCTGTTTCTGTGGCGTAGAGGATGGTGGCTTTGACTCTCTTCGCCATTGCTTGTCCCATCAGCTTTGCGGAGAACTTGACCGCTCTGTGCGGGAGATGAAAAGGAAAAAAAAATTATGGCTTTGGAAACGTCTCCTGAGCATTATACCACTGCACTGGTGAGGCCACTCTTGGAATACTGTTGTCAGACTGCCCACAACTTGAACCCCTAACTAAAAATGATCCTTGGCTCCATTTAATGAGAAAGGCATAGTTTTATTAGAGATCAAGTGTGCTACAGCATTACATAGCCAGGACTGAGAAATGCGTGCCAAAATCCCTAATTTCTACTCCCCCACCCTGTTTATTGACTCTCATTGGCCACCACAGTGTAACCAACCAAGTCCATGCAAGACGTTTTCATAACAGTCAGTCCAAGTGCAGTTTGGTATGCAGCTCCCTCTTTCTTCTAGCTGGGTGACCTTGAAGCAGCATCTCAAGAAAATACAATTTCTACTTTCTATTTCCCAAGCATTCCTCCCTTCATTCCCCCTCCCCATAGTTCATGGCAGTCTGTCACTGCACAATTGCCTCTGGTTCTTGTCACTATGATACAAAAAAGATGTTGAGACCCAAAGAACTGGAGCAAAGAAGAACAACGGAAATGATAGGGTCAAAGATCAAATCATCTTTTGACCTCAGCATCATGTCACAGTAACAAGGCTGAAAGGAGATGGAATCAGGACTGAAAAGTAGACAGGACTGTTGAATGACGGTTCAATTCAATTTAAGCTAAATCAATTAAAAGCCGTTCTGTTCATTGTTATCTACAAATCAGATTACAGTTTGTGAATCCCACAAAATCCAGATCAGATTTCTGAGCTTATTCAAACCATTAATTCAATGAATGAAATCAAGCTGAACCATTGAGGTGATTCAGAGAGAAAAAAAAATATCGCACAGAGGAATCGAATTACCACACTGGTTTGGGAGTTGCTCAGTTCGATGCATTGAATCACTCGAAGGGATAAATTCAATATTTGAGCTTCAAGTCCAATCTTTGCACAGCCTTTTCTGGTTACATTTCCTCCTCTTTGTCAGGTTAAACTGAAGATACTCAACCAGGATTTTCAGGGTTTGGGTGTCATCCGTGAGATGTGCAAGGCTAGTAGGCTGCTTAAAGTTTTAACGGCATGTCTAAAACTATGTTACACACAGGGAAATGTAACGGTATAACTTCATACTTACTTAGCTAATTTTTTAAAGCCAATTGCTCTCTTCTTGGTGGGGGTGCCATTGACCCCTTTCCAGATGTGTGTGTTCCAAGGGTCAGGCTGGGAGGAGAGAGAAAGAATCCCAGTTAAAAGAGAAGAACTGAGTCTGAGGACGAAGTCAAGAATTTACCATGTCCAAACGTAGCTTCAATAGCTTTTCTGGGGTATTGTTCAGGAGTTGAATTCTAAATCATATGTGTGTCACTGCACCAGACTTAATCTGGCCCTCTTGAATTAACTAGAATCAGTAGGATGAGTCTAGGGTCACACAATAGGCTGAATCATGAACTAATTAAATTCTAACCATATGCAAAAGGGATGGTTTTGTATTAACATATAAGTCACCAGGAGTCCTAACCAGGCAACCATTTCATTCTGTTAACTGTATATAATAATTGTTTTTTAGTTACTGATTTGTATCTTGCGTTTACTGTTTTTACAAGAAGTTCAAGGTGGCAAACATATCCAACACAACTCATATTTTCCCCACAACAACCCTGTGAGGTGAGTTGAGCTGAGAGAGAGGGACTGGCCCAAAGCCACCCAGCTGGCTTTCCTAGCTAAGGCAGGACTAGAACTCCCAACCTTCTGGTTATTGGCTCAAAGTCACCCAGTTGGCTTTCGTGGCTAAGGCAGGACTTGAACTCATAGTCTCCTGCTTTCTAGCCTGGTGCCTTAACCTCCAGACCAAACTGGCTTTCTAATGGTGCTTTGTTCTCTCTTGCCCCCAAATGTAGTCTTAAGTGGCTCAAAATTTGTGTAACCTCAGTATTCTGGTCGACTAAAAATGCTTCTTGCAGAAAATTCCACAGTTCACTTATATAGAGCTGGCCTCTTATGTGCTGGAAGAGGACTGGTGGCAAATCTTGAGAAAGGGGGCAGGGCTTAAAAAGGGTCCCTGGCTTGGTAGGTAAGCCGGAGGCTTCTGGAGCTTTTCAAAGTCCCCGCTGGCTGTGCAAAATTTCTGGCAAGAGTATGGAAGAACATCAGAGCAGACTTTTCCTGGCAAAAAAATATGATTTTAAAATTGGGTGAATGTACAGTCCCCTCCAGCATTTCCACGGCCGAATGACGGCCACAGCTCTCGCCATAATTAAGTGCAAATCCCATCAGTCTACATCAATTCCCTGCATAAATTTAGTCTCTGCCAGCGGGAAAGGCCTTCTGCACCCGTTTCAGTTATTAATTTCAGCTTTCCCTAGTAATTTTAGTTTCCTGCTAGGAAACTTCTGAGTGCCTTTGCAAGGGCTGCCCTCTCTCAGCTATAGTAGCCCTCCCCAGTCCCCATCCTGGGGGTGCAAATTTTATTTACTTATTGATGAATGCATGTGGCCACCACCTCAAGCAAGCGACTCTGGGTAGCTAACAAGAATAAAACCAAGTTTTGGTTGTATGCTACCAGTGGTGGTATTCAGCCGGTTCGCAGTGGTTCTGGTGTACCAGTTGCAGAAATTTTGACTAGTTCACAGAACCGGCAAATACCACCTCTGACTGTCCCCGCCCACCCATTCCCGCTGTTACCTCCCCTATATTCCCTTGTTTTTTAGCTTGGCTGATTCGCGCGGATTGCTGTGCCTCAGCCGAGATAAAAACCAACTCATCTCACCAGTGTTTGGACAGAGCTCGGTCTTTGAGCCCTGCGTGTGCGAAGCTCACAAAGAACGGCTTAGATAGAACCGGTAGGAAAAAAATATGGAAACCCATCATTGTATGCAGCACCCATTTTCATCTTTTTTCCATAAAACAAGATTTTCAGAGCCATCAGAACATGGCATGTCATTGCATCCAAGAAGTCACTCCCACCATGGATGACCCCAATATTAGGTAGTATCAGCTGCTTTGATTTCGCCACAAAGTATGGCCACACTTGGAACATGGCATCCAGTTTTGGTCACCACAATATAAAAAAAGATGCTGGGACTCTGGAAAGAGTGCAGAGAAGAGCAACAAGAATGTTCAAGAGGCTGGAGACTAAGTTGGATGAAGAATGGCTGCAGGAATTGGGTATGTCTAGTTGAGTGAAAAGAAGGTCTAGGGGAGATATGATAGCGGGGTTGCCAGAACAAGAGGTGAGTCAAGGTATTCCCCAAAGCACCTGAGGGCAGGACAAGAAGCAATGGATGGAAACTAATCAAGGAGAAAAGCAACCTAGAACTAAGGAGGAATTTCCTAATGATGAGAACAATTAACAGCTTGCCACTAGAAGTTGTGGGTGCCCCATTGCTGGAGACTGTCAAGAAGAGACTGGACAGCCACTTGTCTGGAATGGTATAGGGTCTCCTGCTTGTGAAGGGAGTTGGACTAGATGACTTCCAAGGTCCCTTCCAACTCTGTTATTCTATGTTCTTGTTCTCCATCCCCAAACATCAACTGAAATCTGAACTGAACTGGCAGGTGAGGAAACGGTACCTGATACTCAAAGGACGGTGTAAGCCTGTAGTTGAGCATTTCCTGGTGGAAGACAGGGGTGATGCTTCCAGACATGGGTGGGACAATCCATACCCAGTCAGCCGGACAACCTCCCCGGCAACGGTATTCATTCTCCATGTGTTTGATGAAGGACTCGGTGGCCGAGTGATGATCCACAATCGTCACCTTGTCACTCTGTAGAGAGAAGGAGGACTCTACAAGTGGCAGGAGATCACAAAACTACATTTACCAAACAAATGCAGGAAACAAACTTCTGAGTCCAATTCAAGGTGTTTATGGAGAGTCTCAGTTATCCGGATATGTGGTTGCCCAAAAGTGCTTTTTCAAAAGGTGACTGGACTGAAGAAGAATTGAAGAAGCTTCTTGGATGAGAAGCAAAATGTCTTCCAAAAAAACAACAACAACCCCAAAGTCCAGTTGCCTTTTGAAAAAGCACCTTCGGGAGAATTCAAGGTGTTGGTTATTATAATCATATATTGTTCTGACCCAGCTCCAACAAACACAACAAACCATCTGTGGTTAAATCAATGATTCCTTTATTAGGAGCATCAGCGGCCCTTGCAAAAAGTACCTCTCTCACACACAGCAGGCTAACAGCAGGCTGTCCGATCTATTCATCTCCGCCCCTGCCTTTTATCCCCAGAGCTAGGGTGGGTTTCATTAGAAGTGGTGGCTCTTCCGTCCCAAGGACCAGCCCATAGATTTCCTCTGCTCTCCTCTCCTCTGCCTTCTGGGCATCCGCACATCAGGCACTGGGCCCAGTTGTTCCTCCTCTTCCTCATCAGCCATCTCCAGACCTGGGGGCTGTTGACTCTCCATCTGAGGGCTGATGGATGGCCCAGGTTCTGCCTCCCTTCTCTCTCCCTCCCTCCCTCTCTCTCTGTCCGTCCCTTCCTCCCCTCCTCTCTCTCTCACCACAGGCTAATAAGTCTGTCTAGCAGGGAGATGAATAGTTGTCTGCCACATCTATTCATCTCTGCCCCCTGCCTTTTATCCCCAGAGCTAGCAACAGTGGCTCTTCCATCCCAAGGACCGGCCCATAGATTTCCACTGCTCTCCTCTCCTCTGCCTTCTGGGCATCCACACGTCAGGCACTGGACCCAGCTGTTCCTCTTCCTCATCAGCCACCTCCAGACCTGGGGGCAGTTGATTCTCCATCTGAGGGCTGATGGCCAGCCCAAGCTCCACTTCTCTCTCTCTCCCCCTCCCTCCCTCCCTCCCCCCCCTCTCTCTGCCAGCTCCATTCCCTCTTCTTCCCCCTCGGAGCTCTCAGGTTGCCCTGATGTTGACTCTGACTCCCACGCCTTCTCCTCTGATTCGGCTGCTGGAGGGGCTGGCAGCCCCCAGGCCACAACATAGCTGTAGTTTCACTTAGCGACCAGGTTGCCCATCTCAATTACGGTCAGTAAATGGGGATTACCTTTATAGGATTCCGAAGTTTATGTATTTCTAACAAATGGCTATTGTTTTATGAAATTATCTGCTGGTACCTGAAAACTGTACAGGACTGCAATGTTGATTTCCACTAGTGCTTGATCCTTCCAGAGAGACGAAGTTTTCCGCATGTCTAAATTCATCTTTTTAGCCACTTCCTGCAATGCACAAACAACACAGGTTCATCACAATTAGATGTGAAATGACACTTGGGCTGGGTGAGAAATTTTTTAGTAAGGTGGCTAGAAAAAAGGGCAGCCTTATCAGTGCAGTAAGTTTTTAAAGAGACAAAAAAGAACTACCGATTGTGGTTTTGGTTTTGGTTATAGATATTATTAAGCAATATTCTCCTCCTCAATCTGATTTCAGCTAGATTGTTAGAAAATCATTTTTAACAGCTACAACAACAACAAAGCCATTTTTGTACTGTATTTGCTTACTACTTTCTTCAAAGAATCTGGACATCCAAAATTTAGTTATCTAAATTCATCATTCCTAAATTTACATCTAAGGTGGAACTAGAGGTAGCTTTGTTTATCCGCTGCAGCAAATGTTGTTCCTGTTGCTTTTTGAATATCTAAAACTATCAGAATCATTTACTGAGATGGACAGTTATAGAAATGAAAGGAAGGAAGGAAATAAGAAAGAAAGAAAGAAATCAGACTTGCAAGATCCTGTAAATGTAGTCTTATGATAAAGTGGAATTAGCTCACCTGGTTGCATTTTCTGTCTGGTCTACCTAGGAAGACTAAAATCAACCTTGCAATTTTTTTCTGTCTTTTTTATAGTGTTAGGGAAGTTCCTTTCTGAGTTTCTTTCTCTGCCTATTATGCAGTTGAAGGCTACTCCCTCTCGTATCTGATCCATCCCTTCCACGTCCCAAGGCCTTTCTCACACACCATTAGAGGCCATCGCTAGTCTTTCTACTCTTGCAACCTCCTTGAAGGGTTTCAAAGATCCAGAAGCATGATTTGAGAGAGAAGGGCTACCTCTAGGATGTTGTAACGAGAGCTGTCACAGTAATCCCGGACTCCGATTTCGGTCCCCATGTACCAGCCGCTGAAGGGGCATGCAGAGAACTCCAACCCTCCAATCTCCAGCAGCATGTTAGAAACAGCTGGTAAGCCATACCATTGAAGCTCAAGGTCTTTAAACCACTCGAATCTGTTAAAGGAAAATAAAAATAAAAAGCAGGAACAACTAGGACAACGTCCGCTACAAAAGCTTACTCTACTTGAAGAACATCTGGTTCAATTTTGAAGAACATTGTCTAGTTCTGGAGATCATTTAGCAATCAATGTGTCAATCAAGGAACTGTGGTGGCGCAGTGGTTAGAATGCAGTATTGCAGGCTAATTCACTGCCCACTGCCAACAGTTCAATTCTGACTGGCTCAAGGTCGACTCAGCCTTCCATCCTTTCGAGGTGAGTAAAATGAGGGCCCAGATTCTTGGGGGCAATATGCGGACTCTGCAAACCACTTAGAGAGGGCTGTAAAAGCACTGTGAAGCTGTATATAAGTCGAAGTGCTATTGCCATTGCTATCAATCAATTATCAGTCCCTCATGTTTTGAGGCTCACAGCAAATTCCATGCCTAGGGATTGATCTATAAAGGACATCATCCTAAGGTAAAGATTCCCCTCGCATATATGTGCTAGTCATTTCCAGCTCTAGGGGGCGGTGCTCATCTCCGTTACAAAGCTGAAGAGCCAGCGCTGTCCGAAGACGTCTCCGTGGGTCATGTGGCCGGGACTAAATGCTGAAGGTGCACGGAATGCTGTTCCCTTCCCACCAAAGTGGCCCCTATTTTTCTACTTGCATTTTTACATGCTTTCGAACGGCTAGGTTGGCAGAAGCTGGGACAAGGAATGGGAGTTCACTCCGTTACGCGGTGCTAGGGTTTTGAACCGCTGAACTGCCAACTTTTCTGATTGACAAGCTCAGCATCTTAGCCACTGAGCCACCACGTCCCTACACATAAGTAAACTACAATGCACAATAAAAAGCCAAAGAGTAAAGGAACCACCTTTAAGTTGGGTAAGAACTGACAGGGGGAAATGAGAAGTGTTTTCGACACATGCGAAAAGATAGGTTAATGGAGCCCTATCTTGAATGTCCCACAATATAATTAAGTTTGGGAACTCACCACCACTTGATGTCAACTTAATGGGAGCCAAGAACACAGGCATTTGGACTTACTTGGGATGTCTAATGGGGACTTCCAACACTAACTCAGATGGGATCTCAAAAAGCTCAGGATCATTCCCATTGGCCTGGAGAAGGAGCGGTAGGATGTCGAATCGGCCATAGGGGGCTTTCCACCCTTGCTGTTTGCAAATCTGCACCCAAAGGGAAAAAAAATGTAGGTTTATCTTATTTTATTTATTTGATTTGATTTGTCAATCACTTACAAGATAATAGGTATAAGTACAAACATGAGTAAGAATACAGGAAAAAGGGATGAATAAATGGGGACAATAGGACAGGGACGGGAGGCACGATGGTGCACTTATGCACGCCCCTTACAGACCTCTTAGAAATGGGGTGAGGTCAATAGTGGATAGTTTAAGGTTAAAGGAGTGGAGGTTAGAGGATGTAACAACAGAATCAGGTAGTGCATTCCAGGCATTGACCAGTCTGTTGCTGAAGTTGTACTTTCTGCAATCGAGTTTGGAGCAGTTTACATTGAGTTTGTATCTGTTGTGTGCTCTTGTATTGTTGCGGTTGAAGCTGAAGTAGTCATTGACTGGTAGGATGGTGGATAGCCATGCAACAAAACATAGATGCAAAACGTGAAGTCTACCAACATCTGTGTTGATCTGCAGAATGACCTTAAAGTGGCACTTTCTTTGCATCTGGGATGTTGGGGACGGTGGAACCTGAACTCATGGTCTCTACGTTGCTAGCTTGGTGTTGTACACACTAGATCAAACTGGCCTTTTTCATAACTATTACCAAGTTTTTCATAACTACTACCAAGACTCTACAATCAATTTGCCGCAGAGAGTCCAATTTTATTTTCACGTGGCTTGGCAGAATCTAAATCAGTAGAAAAACCAACCAACCAGGATTCACATGCACCAAATTATATTCTATTTAATGTTCAGTAGTGAGCCCTGTTGGTTGTCACGGGGCACTTCTGTTCAAATTTTGCACGGTTTCCCCTGAATAAGCTTCAAATGCTCATCATTTATGAAGTGTTCAGTTGCTAAAAGAAGCTCTGGAATAAGCATGAAGGATCGTGTTAATTGGTGTCAAGCAGCCATTAAAAAAGCCACACACAGTGGTTGCAAAATCGAGTTGATAAGATGCTGGCGACGATCAAAACAAAAAGATTACAATTAAGCAGACTTGGATTCAGAAGTGTTTTTTAAAAACACATGCAGTCATATTTTTTTTAGCCTTTCGGAGTACTCCAGATGAGAAGCACAACTGAGTTCTAATTATTAGTTCACAACTATGAGTACATTTTCCTCCTCCTCCTCCTCCTCCTCCCCTCCTCCTCTTCCTCCTTCTCTTCCTCCTCCTCCTTCCTCCTCCTTCTCTTCCTCCCCCTCCTTTCTCCTCCTCCCCCTCCCCCCCCCCTCCTCCTCCTCCTCCTCCTCCTCCTCCTTCTCCTCCTCCTCCTTCTCCTCTCTCCCTCTCCCTTCTGAAACAAATCCCTTTTTCTTATCTGTGATCTGTTTTATATACCAATGTTGAGTGTGCATCTCCTCCTTCCTGTCTCCTAAGATCATTCTCACAGACCATTACAATAATTCAATGGATTTTTCCACCACAGGTATGCTTATAGGATTCTGTACGTCCCTCCATGTCATGCACAAACCTCAGTCAGCTCCACATTGGCTGGGTCACCCAAGATGCTGCCGTCCGGTTGCTTATAGCCAGCATAACGGATGAGTTGGGAGTTCCAGACTCGGAAATCATGTTTGCCATCAGTCCTCTGGGGGAAGATAGTGATGGCAGACCTGGGAGGACACGAGAAAAAGGGGGTAGAGTTTTAACATTCCTGATGGAAGGAAAGTGACTCTGTGGATTAGGCTTAGCCAGGTGATCCACAATCATAAGGAAATTGAGGTCTGTTTTTCTTAATGCCCTTCATGGCCTGACCGGACTGAGAATGTCAAGGATGCCAGGCAAAAACTTTCAGCTGGGCGTAGGGACAACACCACATTGTCAGGACCATGGAGAGTTCCAGATAGGATTGATTCTTACATGTCTGTTTGGTGCAGCTGCTCAATGAATGAATGAATGAATGAATGAATTCTTTATTGGCCAAGTGTGATTGGACACACAAGGAATTTGTCTTGGTGCAAATGCTCTCAGTGTACATAAAAGAAAAGATACATTGATCAAGAATCATCAGGTACAACACTTAATAATAGTCATAGGGTACAATAAGCAATCAAATCATACTAGGAAACAGACAATATAAATCGTAAGGATACAAGCGACAAAGTTACAGTCATACAGTCACAAGTGGGAGGGGATGGGTGATAAGGACTGATGAGAAGATTAATAGTGATAGTAACACAGACTTTGTAAATAGTTAGACAGCGTTGAGGGAATTATTTGTTTAGCAGAGTGATGGCATTCGGGGGAAAACTGTCCTTGTGTCGAGTTGTCCTGGTGTGCAGTGCTCTATAGTGTTGTTTTGAGGGTAGGAGTTGAAACAGTTTATGTCCGGGATGTGAGGGGTTTTAAGTCTTTTGCTTTATAAAGTTGCACTCAGAGGCTGCAAACATCTCTGTGGAATTTTCCCTACATCTGCAGATAAGAAGACCCTTAAATGTTTAAGCAAAATATTTAAAAAATGCACCCACCACAGAGAAGCTGACCTTCAAATTGTTTGTATGTTTTAATGTTCACAAAAGGCTTATCCGTGGGTAATCCACTTTTCATAATATTTTGGTTATGTATGCAAGTAGATATGGGATACACTACACACACACACAAAACTCAACCAGGCTAAACATTTGCTACCTCTGAGTATTTGGGCAAATGCCGTAGAGTAGATATTGAAAAGTTATCTATGTCTCTGCGACGGAGGATGTCAAGGTTTTAAGACCAAGCGTGTCCAACCTTGGCAACTTGAAGACCTGTGTACTTCAACTTCTAGAATTGAAGCATGGCTGGCTGGGGAATTTTAAGTGTCGGAAGTCCACAGGTCTTCAAGTTACCAAGATTGGACACCTCTGTTTTAGACAGTCTCGTTTGGTTCTGCAAAACGAATTGGAGCTGTATCCCTGGAATGTCTTGGTTTGCTTGAATGTGGAGTTCTTTTGTTTTTGTTTTTCTTTGCAAATAGTGTTAAGCTCATTTTAGCTCTTACCGTACTATTTTTCTTTTTTTTTTTTCATCTTGAAATTAAAGGAAGCCTGGTTTCCAATTTACAGCAATTACAGCAATTGAACAACTCTGCTGGAGACGCGTTGGGAGAGGGAGGAAAGAAGGGGACATGAAAGCCACCGGCAGCCATGGGTCTGTAAGGTTACTACCTCTTGTTCTATAGGCCACTGCAGCTCCTCTGGAATCCTTTGTACACTGTCAATTCGAGTGGAAAATCCCTTCCATTTTAGATTAGAATGGTTGGATTTTCATTTTGTTTTTTATTTTATTTGTTTGCATCATGCCTTGATTATTTTTACAAGTAACTTAAGGTGGCAACCATGTCTACCCCACTTTCTTCCTCCTAGTTTCCCCCACGACAACAACCCTGGATGGACAGACAGACAGACAGACAGGCCCAACCAGCTTTCATGCCTAGGGTGGGACTACAATCCACTGTCTCCTGGTGATTGGCCCAAAGTCACCCAGCCAGCTTTTATGGCTAAGGTGGGACTTGAACTCATGCTCTCCTGCTTACTAGCCTAGTGCCTTAACCACTAGACTAAACTGGCGATGGGAGATTTTAACTTGCTGCGTTTTCTGCTGAGCTTCCCAGCTCAGGTAAGATAACAAAACAGGCCTTGGTCCAGTGCCATCATGCCATTTGCGCATGAACACACACACACACACACACACACACATGCAAACATGCACACACGCACACAGGCACACATACCTGAGGTTCCCCTTGTTCGTGGCATATTTGATGTGGTTGCAAATGTAGTTGAACATGCCATGAGCTGTGGTACAGTCCCGGGCATCAAAAACCTGGAAAGAATTCAAACAGAAGAGTTGGAATTGCGATCTAAGGAACAACAAAGACAACGAAGGCCCGGGTTTGCTCTTGAAGAAACAAAGATAGTGTGTAAATGTATGCGTTAAATCGTACGTTTGAAATCTGAATGGCTGTCATGTCTACCAGCAGAAAGATTTAATTTCTCCAGATACGGAAGGCAGGGTTAGACTCAAAAGGTTTTAAGATCCTGAAGGGCCAATTAGAAAAACTGTGTAAAAGAAGGAAAAAAATTGACAGTTCTTCCACTTTATATCTGGAGCTGGCTCAGAAAATAAAACCCTAATAAACCCTTAAGCAGGCTTAAAATGAGTTCAGTTATTCAGGTACGGGGAGAGAGGCTCGGTTTTCGCATGTAAATCTCTCGAAAGCACTTTATTGGAGATTAAACATTTGCGCAGAAAAGATGTTTGCCACTCCGACATGCCTCCAGTTCAGGAAGATTTCTCTTCCTTTCGGTTTATTGAAAAGAAACGTACGGGGCAGGCGTAGCTGCTTGCAAAAATCCTGAACTTAAAAATATTTGGACAGCTTGTTTTGAATCAGGGCCCCCTCAAATCTTCTGGGAGAGTTTGACTGGAGCCTTCGGCCTCCTTGCAGACTTCTTAACTGCGTGCCACTTTGCCAAGAATCCTCATACCTGCTCAGAATAATCTGTACTTGCCGAAGTACATAAGCACTTTAGCTGGCCACGCCCATGAGTTCCTCACCTGCAGCTTGGACCACTGGATTCTCCCCACGCAACGAGAGGCGTTGCGCCATGCGTGCTTAGCTCCATAGATCAGCTCCGTATCACGCAACTGGTAGGTGTCCGTAGTTTCTATCTCTTTGGTGACTTCCACCAGCCTTTCCATGTGAGCTTTCGAGCCAGACCTGTCGGGCCAGAGGGAAAAAAAAGAGGTGAGCCATCATTCATGCCATCGTGGTGGGCACAGTGGACTAGCACAAGGCAGTCCTGCACCAAGCAAAACCTTTTTTCTCCAAAGGAGAACAGGCAAAGCTGGCAATTATCATAATCACAATTAGCACAAGGAGATTCAGAATTAGAAGAATAGAGTTGGAAGGGACTTTGGAGGTCTTCTAGTCCAACCCCCCCCAGCTCAAGCAGGAGATGTTATACCATTTTAGACAAATGGCTGTCCAGTGTCTTCTTAAAAAACTCCAGTGATGGAACACCCACAACTTCTCAACATCAAGAAGTTTTTTCCTTAATTCTAGCCTGGATTTTTCTTTGATAGGTTTCCTTCTGGTCATTCTTGTCCTGCCCTCAGGTGCTTTGGAGAATAGATCGCCCCCCTATTCTCTGTGACAGCACCTCAAGTACTGGAAGACATCTATCATGTCATTTCTAGTCCTTCCCTTTATTAGACTAGATGTTCCCAATTCCCATAATCATTCATCATACGTTTTAGCCTCCAGTTCCCTAATCATCTTTGTCGCTGCTCTCTGCACTCTTTCTGGAGTCTCAACATCTTTTTGGTATCATGGTGACCAGAAAGGGATGCAGTATTCCAAGTGTGATCTCCCCAGTACAAAACAGTGCTATCCCTTCGCGCAATAATAGATAATTTTATGTATGTATGTATGTATGTATGTATGTATTTATTTATTTATTTTATCAAGCTATTATAAGATAACAGGTATAAGTATAAACATAGTTATGAATACGTGAAATGGATACATATAAGAAAAATAAAAAGAAACAATAGGACAGGGATGGTAGGCACGTTGGTGCGCTTATGCACGCCCCCTACAGACCTCTTAGGAAAGGGGTGAGGTCAACAGTAGACAGTCTAAGGTTAAAGTTTTTGGGGTTTGGGGAAGAAACCACAGAATCAGGTAGAGTATTCCAGACATGGACCACTCTGTTTCTGAAGTCGTATTTCCTGCAATCAAGTTTGGTGCGGTTTACCTTGAGTTTGTATCTATTGTGTGCTCTTGTATTGTTATGGTTGAAGCTGAAGTATTCATTGACAGGTAGGACATTGCAATATATAATTTTATATACTATATTTAGATCGGACTGAAGGCGGTGTAGTTCTAGGTTTTCTAGGTCTAGAATTTCAAGTCTGGTGGCATAAGGTATTCTGCAACGAGTAGAGGATTCTATTGGAAATTCCCTTGGAAATTTAGCTTCTTGGTTTCGTCTAACTCTGGCTACCTTCAAAACACCTTCTAAACACTCATTAACATGGGGAGAGAAGATTCTGAATGTCCAGAGATGCTTCTTTTCTAAGTGGTGCTTTAGGTCAAACAAATTTGCTTTACTAATGGCTTACCGGGAGGGGCTCAGAACACCGAAGGAACATGCCGTAATATTTCAGTTCATCTCAAGGCTTTTATCAACAATTCTTTATCCTCTTTTAATGTAAGAGCAATTCGTTGGTTGAAAATAAATACAAGAAGAACTAAAAGCAATATTTGCCAGATGAATCATAATAAGCACAATGAGAAATCCATCCGAAGCATCAAGAATAATGAAGTACTTTATCTCCAGTTTTTCAGACAACATTCAACTCCTTATTTATGGAGCTAAATCCTCATTCCTTCTCCGGAAAGTTATCCCAACCTAGGGGTCTCCAAACTTGGTAACTTTAAATCTTGTGGGCTTTAATTCCCAGAATTCACCACCCAGCATGGCTGCCTGGGGAATTCTGGGAGGTGAAGTCCACAGGTCTTAAAGTTGCTAAATTTGGAGACCTCTGTCCTACCCAAATCTGTTCTGCAGAGGAGAGATAATATTTTAACAAATTAAGGGCAGATTTATGCCAGACTGATATAATTAACCAGGAATATCCTACTTGCCATCTATTTTAAAGACCCATCCTTAATTTGTAAGTAGCCACCCATAGCAAATGGGACAAGTTGGTGCAGGATTGCCCATGGTCAAATACCTTGCAGAAATCATGACAGTTCTTGGGGCAAAATTCTCTGCCCCAGGATTTGCAGAGGCTCTCAACTTACCTCTTGATGGAGGAGTAGTACTGGTCAATGAATTCTTTGGCGAGGAGGAGGAGCTGATCCTTTGTCCGGACTTCTTCCGGTTTACGGACATGCTGAGAAGGCATCATGATGGAGCCCATGCAGATCTGTTCACTGCAAGGGGTTACCTGAAAAGTAAGAGGTAAGAAGTGGAAAGGCACCTGGTCAGGATTCCATTCACCCGTTGAAGGAGTTCAAAGAATACAGTGGATGTGCAGCAGATGCTCCAGGGAAGGGTGGGATTCTACTGGTTTGGACCAGTTTGTGTGCAAATCGGTAGTTCCGTCGAGCATCTGGCCCCTTCCATCCACTCTTGCTCTTTCCTGTGCTTTATTTCCTGTTTTTTTTTTTAGCACAGCTGATTCACTGGGGATGCAGCAGAAGGTAAGCAATTGAGTTTAGAATGGGCTTTTTAAAATGTAGAGCACACACACGAAGCTCACCGAGCAGGTTGTTACACCAGTTGAATCGCACCACTGGCTCCAGGGATGGAACAAGTTCAGAGACAAATGTTTATTTATTAATTAAATTTATATGCCGCCGTTCTCACTGCCGTGGGATTCTGAGGGGCAGAGACATGCTCTGAATCGCATTTTGGGGAGAGAGAAGTTCCCTGAGGATGGAGTTCGAATCTCTGCTCCTGGTGACTGAACCCGATTGGATTCTGCAACAAGTCATGTGGTTTCTGGGTTTATAAAAACAGGAGCATTGATGGCTAAATGAACCGTTTGGCTAAATTAAAAGAATGAAAAGGAAAGAACAGCTTTGCTTCTCCTTGGAAACCACTTCTGGATTTTGTGCGATGATGGAGATGATGGTGATGAGATGCTTCTAAGAAGGAACTAGCCGAGGTGGCTAAAATGAACCGCTTTAATCAAAAGAAAGAACACATCCAACTTTGTTTCTCCTTGGAAACCGCCTCTTGACTTTGTGCTTGAGATGGTGGGGGGAAAAAATGAAATGTTGGCTTTGGGTTTTGCTGATTGCACAGGTTTGTTGTTAGCAATAGCTAGTAAATATAAAGAGCGTAAAAGTAAAAAGTTGAGCTGTGATATCATTACGTTATTCTACTGCACTAAAAAGAGTCAACAGAGGTTTTCGTTTTTTCTCCTTTTCCCTACACCTTTTTCTTTCCTCCTTTCCCACTATTTTTTCCTTTGGATTTTATACTTTGATGAGTTTCATTTAAAAAAAAAAATTAATCAGAGAAGCCTCTCAGAGGCAAAATCTTCATGCTCTTAGAGTTTCTTTGGCTGCCTACGAAATATAAACCACCTGTATCTGCAAGAATCACACTGCAAGAAAACAGTCTCTCTCGCACGGATATTATGAAAGAGAGAGGGAGGGAAAAATATATCAAAATTTCTATTCTGCTCTTTCCCCTATTTGATTTTTTCCTTTTTAAAACTGGAATGTGGAAATCAATGCTCCTTTTGTAACTTTTCTTCCGGCGGTGGCTTTCTTTTCTGCACTTTTTCCTCGCCCCAGTCCCTTTTTCTTGAAAAGCAAGAAATGCGATTCTAAAAAGCATTCCGCACTATACATTTTTATGAAAGCTGTGTGAGATGGGTGGCTTTTGTATCTTTCTTTCTTAATGATCTACTCCGGGTGGAATTTGCCTGCTTCGCAGCTGCTGCACCCTAGATGGATGGTTTTTAAATGGTGCCATCCTTTGCGACCTTCTTATTTGCATCTTAAAAAGACCTTAGCTGCAAAATAGTAATAATGCCTTGACGATCACATCTTCCCTAGGTCTACGTTCCCTCATTTATTCGTGTTTTCTTTTTCGCTCCCGGTTTCATTACTGGTGTTTTGCTCATCTATCGCACATGTGTGCTCAGGCGCATTGACTGAACGGCAAAGGAGCATTTTTCTGCGAACAGCCGCATATCATCAAGCATTGAGTTTCTTTGTGGCTGACATTCTTCCACGTGGCACCATCCGAAAGAAAGAACCTTGATATGAATGGCGGGAGGATAGACGCTCGCATTGAATTGCCACTCTGCAGAGGTTTATCTACACACAGGAGAATAAATACGACAACCGGAGGTGGGGAGACAAAGTGCAAATTAGTCACTTGGCGATTCCAGAATGAAATATTCAGACATTTTGATGAAGAAGGCTTGAATGCAGAAAGGAGGAAACGAAACACACGGAGGGAATGATCAAAGAAGGAATGGAAGAAGTCAAACAAGGAATGATAATTGTTCCCGTTTGCAGTTCTATCCAGAAAAGAACATAATTAATAATGGAGTTGGAAAGGACCTTGGAGGTCTTCTAGTCCAACCCTCTCAAGCAGGAGACCCTATACAATTTCAGAACAATGCTTGTCCAATTTTTTCTTAAAAACTTCCAGCGTTGGAGCATCCACAACTTCTGGAGGCAAGTCATTCCCATTAGTTTATATTGTTGTCACTCTCAGGAAATTTCTCCTTAGTTCTAAGTTGCTTCTCTCCTTGATTAGTTTCCATCCGTTGCTTCTTGCAATGAATAGACAGTGTAGACATTTGCTTTGAAAACCTTTCGCTCCTCATGCCCTCCAGACAAGATCTGATCTCACTTCTGATGCTCCTTGGACCATTTTCCCATCATGTTTTTTTGAAGCGGTGCCATTATGGGAAATTTAATGGGTGATGGATTCCACCATCCACTAATACTGCTGCAGCCAACGTGCCCAACACTGAAGCTTGTGTCACGCCTCATGATGCATCTGAACAATATTACAATAACTTCAAAAAGTAGTAACTCAGTTCTCAGGGGCTGATTCCCTTCTGTTCCAATTCTGCCCATCAGACTTCTCTAACTCTGTCCTAAAGAATCGTTTGAGTGTTGGGACCAGGTTGAGGCATTTTGGCCTCTGTAGTACAGTAATAAAGTTAATCCTTGACTTATCACCATTCATTCAAAAACCCAGGGCCTCCCACATCCACCAATGTACCACAGGCTCCGAATAACAACCACAACAGGGAAAATCGGGATTTTGTGGGCATCTTAAGAGCCACAATGGCATATGACCATAATTCTGGGCTACAGTACTAGCAATAGCATTTAGACTTGTATACTGCTTCACAGTGCTTTCCAGCCTTCTAAGCGGTTTACAGAGTCAGCTTCTTGCCCCCCAACAATCTGGGTCCTCATTTTACCCACCTCAGAAGGATGGAAGGCTGAGTCAGCCTTGAGCCAGTCAGGATCAAACTCCTGTCAGTGGGCAGAGTTAGCTCACAATACTGCATTCTAACCACTGTGCACCATGGATGGATGGATGGATGGATAGATGGATAGAAGGAAGGAAGGAAGGAAGGAAGGAAGGAAGGAAGGAAGGAAGGAAGGAAGGAAGGAAGGAAGGAAGGAAGGAAGGAAGGGAGAAGGAAGGAATAGCAATAGCCCTTAGACTTGTATTCTGCTTCACAATGCTTTACAATCTTCTCTAAGCAGTTTACAGAGTCAGCCTCTTGCCCCCAACAATCTGGGTCCTCATTTTACCCACCTCGGAAGGATGGAAGGTTAGCCCTGTCAAGGTTGGAACTCCAGACTGTGGGCAGAATTTGCCTGCAGTGCTGCAGTCTAAGCACTGTGCTGTCGGGCTCCATTGTGCCACTTGGTTGTTAACTCAAGGATTACCTGGACCACCTCCCCCATCTTCTCCAGTCAACCTTCCTTCTCACTAAGGAAAAAGTCTGCAAACTTGGCAAGTTTAAGACTTGTGGACTTCATCTCCCAGAATTCCTGAGCTAACATGACTGGATGAGGGATTCTGGGAGTTGAAGTCCACAAGTCTTAAAGCTGTCAAGTTTGAAGACCCCTGGTCTAAAGTTAGTTGCAATCTTTGAGAATGAACCCTAGTTGCCTTGAACTGGCTGCTTCACTCCATTGATAGTAGAGCCCTTGAGAAAAGCTTGTTTCAAGGAGGTCCCCTTGGAAATGGACCCTAAACCTTTGGAAGAATCCTCAAGCAGCATCTCACTTACCATGGAGCACTTCAAATGCAAAGTGTCATTGAGCACAGAGCCAGTTTCCCAGTTCTTCACTTTGGCAAAACGCGGGCACTTGGAAGGGCTTCCGTTCACCACATTTTTGGTAGGCGACTGCTGGCCAGAAGGGACCTGAGCAAATAAGGATAGAAAGAGAATCATGATCTATAGGAGATAGTTTGGTCCAGCCCAGCTACTCAGAAAGAGGTTGATATCAGGGTTGGGGAGGTAGAGCAGATAGGCAAGCTCCTTGGGATGAGGGTACGTGTGCAAATGTGGAAGCGGGTGATGGATCCATTTGTGAAAGGGAGGTCTCAACCAGTTACCAAACCCCCAACTAGTTCCTCACCATCCTGGAAGGATCTTCATGGAACTCCAAAACATTCCTGTAAATTAATATGTTTGTGTGTGTGCTTGTGTGTTGGAATTTGGATAACTTGTGGTCGGTCTATCTATCTATCTATCTATCTATCTATCTATCTATCTATCTATCTATCTATCTATCTATCTATCTATCTATCTCATCTGTTTATCTACCATCTATGTCTCTTCCTATCATCTATCTATCTATTAAGGGGTGTGCATAAATGCACAATCGTGTCATCTATCTATCTATCTATCTATCTATCTATCTATCTATCTATCTATCTATCTATCTATCATCCATCTATCATTCTATCTATCTATAATCTATCTATCTATCTATCTATCTATCTATCTATCTATCTATCTATCTATCTATCTATCTATCTATCTACCATCTATCTATCTATCTAACATCTCTGTCTGTCTGTCTGTCTGACGCTCTCTCTCTCTCTCTCTCTCTGTCTCTGTCTCTGTCTCTCATTCTCTGTCTCTCATTCTCTCTCTCTCTCTCTCTCATTCTCTCTCTCTCTCTCTCTCTCTCTCACTCACTCACTCACTCACTCACTAGCTATCATACTTAGAAATCACCCCTTTATCTCACAGAGGGACCCAGCTATAATACGATGCCGGAAGGAAATTCAGGGTTTCTTCTCAAGCTCTTTGCTCTTCCAAACTAGCTGTTCTAGAGGGCTGCGGTGTCTGTCACCGTCAAGGTTACAAAGATTAAGACTTTGCGAGTGTGGGTGGAAGCACTGCTGAAAAAGGCAGAGAGCAAAGAATTGCCAAGGGGGTGGATTGTCAATCAGAGGCAGAGTGCATGCTTCACAATTGCACATGATCCCAACTGTTTTCCCCATAAAGGTAAAATTTCCTTCATGTCAAGCTGGGGATTTCAGGAACTAATCCATATAATTTTCTTTGCAACTGTTCAGAAGTAGTTGACTCTTGCTTTCTTCTGGTATACAAGAAATCTACTAGCTAATATTAGAAATCTATTCCAGTTCTGACTAGATAAAACCTATTTAACTTCCCAATCCAGATCGGGGCTGCTCAGTCGTGGTCAGCCTTCCAAGGTAGCTTAGGCAAGAAACACACTAGCTCTATTTTTATTGTAAGCTTGCATTAACCCAAACTCGCAAGTCTGAAAGTACATTTCACCCCTCATTTCGCTTTTACCGTCCTAGAAAGTAGGGAGGATCCCTTCTGAGGTGTTTTCCATTCTTTCTGCGCGCTCAACCTCATCGTATCTGACCTTTGCTTATTCTGCGGCTCTTCCACCTGTCTCCCAAGGTTGCTCTCACATACCATTACATTTCTTTTGTATCAGTTGAAGTATCTCTTCTTCCCCCAATATCACGCCTTCTTGATGTTTTGGGCCACAGCTCCCATCATCCCATACCACTACGCGGACGCAGAGGTGGTATTCAGCAGGTTCTGACCCGTTCTGGAGAATTGGTAGCGGGAATTTTGAGTAGTTCAGAGAACCGGCAAACCCCACCTCTGACTGGCCCCGCCAACTCCATCTCTTCTCTGCCTCCCATTGAGTCCCAGCTGATCGGCTGGGTCTTCTTTGGTTGCCTTGCACAGGAGAACGGAGCTGGAAAGCAGGTTAGTGGGGTGGGGAGGGAGTGGGGATTTTGCAGTATCCTTCCCCTGCCACTCCCACCAAGCCATACCATGCCCACCAAGCTATGCCACGCCCACCAAGCCATACCACGCCCACCAAGCTATGCCACACCCACCAAGCCATGCCAACAGAAGCGGTAATAAATTTTTTTTTAATCCCACCACTGGGCTGAGAAATATCATACTGGGAAGGAAGATGAGCTAAAAGAGTGACACAGGAAACTTAATTTCCTAAATCCAATGTTTCCCTAAAAGCAGAATGTGAAGCCAAGGAACAACCATGCTGGATTTTTGCCTGCTTGCCCAACTCTGCTTATTTTCTTTAAGAATCTCTGAATGTTTCTTGTTCACTTTCAGGTAGGGATTCATGTTTCCTCTCCTTTCACAAATGTTGATAATCTAAAACCTGCATTTACCAAGGTGAACACTACAGAAACCCTGGGAAATGTTTCAAGGGTCCAAAAAAATGGGGAAGTGGTTCCTTTCCCCCCATCCTGTTCATTTTACTGTGCAAACAGGGGAAGAAACATGGCACGCAATGTTGTGTTTTGGCTGCTCAGGGAAAAAAAATAGATTGGGGTCAAAAGGTAGAAAATTTATTTAAGGAACAACCGGGAAGAAGTGATCACTTACAGGAATTTCCCCTCTCTGTGTGAGAAAAAAAAAAACTATTTTTGAACACACTGTTCCTCCTTCCATGCGCTCCCTATAGTCTTGAATTGAAAACATGGCACAGGTAGCACAGCCAAAATGGGCTAAATTGGCTAAAACTTCACGGTAAGTCTTGTTATTATTATTTTTTTTAAGGAAAATCCAAGAAGCAGAATTTAGATGCGTGGAAGAAATCTTGCACAGGTGACACAAACACATAGCTATGGGCTTCTGAGTGGGGTGGGCATTTCCAAAAAGTGGTGCAGATTGGATAATATGAGCCAAAGAAAACGAGCAGATTTGCAGAAACTAATGAACAAGGATTGTAATTTGAATATTTAAAAAGCTATTTGCCTATTAAGAAGTTCTTTGTATATTAAAAGCAAAGAATGTTTTATGACACTTTAAAAACTAATCCATGTATTCAAATCCATGTATCACAGTATCCATGTATTCAAAGAGAGAGTCAAACTATTCCCCAAAGCACCAGAAGGCAGGACAAGAAGCAACGGGTGGAAACTAATCAAGGAGAGAAGCAACTTATAACTAAGGAGGAATTTCCTGACAGTGAGAACAATTAATCAGTGGAACAACTTGCCTCCAGAAGTTGTGGATGCTCCAACACTGGAAGTTTTAAAAAAAGATATTGGATAACAATTTGTCTGAAATGGTGTAGGGTTTCCTGCCTAGGCAGGGGGTTGGACTAGAAGACCTCCAAGGTCCCTTCCAACTGTGTTATTCTATTCTATTCTAAATCAATGGGAATATATGCATTTATTGAACATAGATCCTGTTCTCTCTATTCTGCCTTCGTCACACTGCAGGGTTCACTCCACAGTTTAAAAAGGACATTGATAAAGTAGAGTATGCCGAAAGAAGACAAAGTAAATTGAAGTTGGAGGATTAGGCATTTTAGCCTGGAGGAGAGAAGGTTGTAGAGACAAGAGAACTGCCTTCAAGTAGGTGAAGGGCTGTCATGGAAGAAATGGGGTAGAATTATTCAGGAAACAAGACAAGGAACAGTAGGTTTAAACAAGGAGCCGGTTTTAGTTGGGTGTAGGAAAATATCCCTAATGGTCAGAGTTGTTTTACAAGGGAAGAGGCTCTTTCGTGGGATGGTAGATTCTCTTCCATGGAGCCCTGGAAGATCTTTGATCAGGAAAGTTTTATTATTAGTAGATTCTTGCACCGTGCAGGAGGGGGTAGCTTAGATGATCTCCAAGTTCCCTTACATTCTATGATTTCTGTAGTGCAGAACATTTCCCCCCTGCATTTATAAAAAAAACAGTTGACATTTCCATTTTGCTCCGAAGAAAAACTTCATCCTTCTGCGATGCTTGTTTTTTTAGATTGAGAAATGGGAAAATGTAAAAGAAAGATTTGGAAAGTAAAACATCCTTAGCAGCAAACTGGTTAGCTAAACTCACTATCAGGGAGAAGTTTTCGTGTGTTCGTAAATAAGCTGGAAAACCTGAAGTCAAAGGGAAGAATCCTTTTGAGAAAGTGGCCGAAGAAGCAAACTTTGGCACAGTGTTAATAATACAGATAGGAGAAGTGAGTGGTTGAATGCCTTCTCCCCCCCCTTTTTTAAAATACACACTAACAAACAACGCTGTGATTAGGAGGCATTGAGAGTCCGTACAGAAGGAACAAGATTCATCCTGGTGTTTTTTTTAAATTTCCTGATATTGGGTCTACAGTATGTGCAACTTTCAAATTGCTCTCTAGTTCTAAAAGCTCATTATGAAAATCATAAGTGGTTTGTTTGTTTGTCTGCCTTTGTTTTCAAGAACAGCAAGAGTTTTAACCTTTAAGGTCGATCCTACAGTCTTAAAAAGAAATAACTTCAAGGTGAAGCAATTAAAAGCTTTTCTGATTTTTTTGTGTGGTTTTCATTACTTTTTTTTTTCTTTCTTTCAAGAAATGCTCTCTAATCCATGTGGGAAGTTTGTTCTTCGGCCACTAGATTTGGGCGTGTACAAATGGGTCACCTTGGAAGCTGGAAGTGGAAGAAACTAGAATTGGGAACCCGTATGTATTCTCATTATTGGGTTGGTATGTAGACCAGCCACATAATGAGAATAATGTCCTTGGCAGAGAGAAAAAGGGTTTAATAGCAGGTGAATTCAGAGGGAAGGATCTGAGCAGTCCGAAGGAATGCTAGGAAATTAAGATTTTCAAAGAATCAATTAGGAGGTGTAGGAAGATGGAACAGAATAGAATAGAATAGAATAGAATAGAATAGAATTAGAATAGGATAGAATAGGATAGAATTAGGATAGGATAGGATAGGATAGAATAGAATAGAATAGAATAGAATAGAATAGAATAGAATAGAATAGAATAGAATAGAATAGAATAGAATACTTTATTGGCTAAGTGTGACTGGACACACAAGGAATTTGCCTTCGGTGTATAAGCTCTCAGTGTACATAACATTATAATTGATAAATCATGATTATAGGCATCATAATATGCTCATCGTGAATCATAAAATGCAACACTTAGTGATAGTCATTGGATACTAAATAAGCAATCAACGTAAATCATACTAGGAATTTAAACAAAACAATATAAATCATAAAGATACAATTAATATAAATGTAAATTAATATAAATGTAAAGATACATAAATGTAAAGAAAGGTGTCATGGGAGGATATTCAGGCCACACATACTTAATATGTCCCCAAGGTGTTTTTTTTTCCCACTGGGGGTGTTGCTGTACAGTTATTCTGTTTATACCCAACCTCTGCAGCCAACATGGCCAATGGGTCAACATAGCTGGCAAGCAACAGGACAGTGAATATACATCTAGTTCAGAATATGGAACATAGAACAAGAAGGTTGAAAGGCACTTTGGAGGAAACCCTACACCACTTCAAACAAACGGTTGTCCAATCTCTTCTTAAAAACTTCCAGTGTTGGAGCATTCACAACTTCTGGAGGCAGGTTGTTCCACTGATTAATTGTTCTCACTGCTACATTAAAACTACCACATTAGCTTAACAAGTCATACAACTGAGCATGGTCACATGATGAGCTGCTTAAAGACTCACCTCTGTGACAAAGCCGAAGAGCCAGCACTGTCCGAAGACGTCTCCGCGGTCATGTGGCTGGCATGACTAAATGCCGAAGGCGCATGGAACACTATTCCCTTCCCACCAAAGAGGTCCCTATTTTTCTACTTGCATTTTTTTACATGCTTTCGAACTGCTAGGTTGGCAGAAGCTGGGACAAGGAACAGGAGCTCACTCCGTGACGCGGTGCTAGGGATTTGAATATTTGGCCATATTATCCATCAAATGCTGACTGTGCTGTTGACAATTCCATGGGGAGGGATACACTGAGGTTTATTTTTTGAGGCTTCAGAAGGGACAGTTTACTTGCTAGCTTGATTTCCTAGAAACCTTGGACATTGTACCATGATCCCCACCTGAGCATCATCGCCGGAGAGTCACCACCTACCTGGTTCTTGCCTGAAGACACGTTGCTTGGCATGGGGCACATTTCAGAGCCCCCCCATTGGTCACTGACGTTCTCCAGCTGCGTTGGCAACGTCCTTGGCGACTTCCGGTCCGTTTCGCAGAAACTGATGAAGGGGAAAGCACACAACAGCACCCATGAGTCACGAGGTTAAATAATTAATTGGGCTCAAACCAGGTTCTTGAGGTTAACCATGCATTCTTGAGTCCTGGAGCAGGAAGAGCCCCCATCCACAGCCAGTTGCATCTGCCTCCTGCAAGTAAAGGCAAGCTTTCCTGTCTGCCTGAACACGAGTTCTCACGCAATCAAAAGTTAGAATCAGTCCAGGGCGATACAAAGGAACAAACAGAAACTCTACCTTCTGCCCAAAATAGAATTGTTCCTGGGCCTTTGTGGAGAGCGAAAAGTGGGGTGGGTGGGTGGGTGGAGAAAAAGAAACCAGAAGATGGATAGTTATAAGCTGAACTTGCACGGAATATTCAGCAATTGGCAGAATTCTTCCGTAACGGAGCCTCAAACTTTTCTACAATACATTTTCTGATCAAAAGCCGTTTGATTCCTGGCCATGCCTGGATTCTGGTGGGGCTATTTAATTAGTTTCAGTCCAGCTTGCCAAGGAGAAACTCAACACTCTGGTGTCACACAGGTGAGAAGAGCCCAGTTACAAAAAATAAATAAATACATTAATAAATCCAGCAATGGAAACTTGTCTACTTGGTAAAAGCTAACAAGTCTCCCTTCAAATGCCTTGTGTTACTCTTATTGGATCTTGTGGCATTCCTGCAAATAAAGACAACGGCAGAGCTACAGCTGAGCTTGGCAACAGCCAGCTGCCTAGATCATTAAAAAATATGACCAAAAAAGTATTTTTTAAATAAATCAGGATAGGAAGGACAATGCGTCTGCGGCTGAATCCACAACCACTCGGTTCTACTAGAAGAATTCTATGCAAAAACACAGATATTCTGCCGCCATCAAGGAGAATTCCTCTAACTTTCAGCCTGCTCGACTTCCATATTTATGAGAGAGCTGCTACGCTGCAGAACGAACACTGCAAACCAAACATTCAGGCAATCCTCAACTTACAACGCCTGTTTAATGACTGCTCAAAATTACAACGGCACTGAAAGAAAGTAACTTACAACCATTGCAGCATCATGTGATCAAAATTCAGATGCTTGGCAACCGTCTTGTATTTATGATGGTTGCTGTGTCCTGAGGGTCATGCGATCCCCTTTTGCGACCTTCTGACGAGCAATGAGGAAGCCAGATTCACTTAACAACGGGGCTACTGACTTAAAAACGGCAACGATTCCCTTAACAAGGGTGGCAAGAAAGACTGCGAAATGGAGCAAAATTCATTTAACCACTGCCTTGCTTAGCAAAGAGAAATGTAGGGGCTCCGTTGTGGTCATAAGATGAGGACTACCTGTGTTAATGAGAGAGCTAGCTGCCATACTGCGGAACTGCCACTGCAAATCACATATGCAAACTTCATATTATTCCCCAACCATGCTTTGTTGACTGTTTGGGGGTTCAGTCCTTTTATGGGGTTGGTACATTGGATCCTCAGAGTTCTACCCCAAATAAAGAGAAGCCAGAAACTTCAAGAGTTTCTCTGTCCCTCCAATTCTCTCAATTCTCTCTTTTTAAAAAAAGAATTTCCTTCTGATCTTTCTTCTTCCATGCCAAGTTCAGCCGTTTGGCTTTAAGGAGGCTAAAATAGTCTCATTGTTTGCATCCCAACTAACCAACTCCAAACCAATAAACTCTGAGATGAGCATTTCCTCAAAGTTCCATTTTACTACAGTTGTCATATTGGCACATCTGGGAAAACCCGAATCTGAGAGTTCCAGGTTTTCCCTTCCCCGCCAAAAATCAAAGATCCATCCCCCTGCATCCATCAGCCCATCACATCATGGCCCAATCAAATCTTCGTCCTAACTGGAGACATCCCTCCAGTCACTCCCCTTCAGGTGCAGGGCAACATGTCCTTGACTCTCTGAGAAAAGAATGTTGTTGAGTCTAATCTTTCCCCTCTCTCTGAAATCCCCCTTCCCAAATTCCCAGGCACTGAATGTGGCAGCCTGGACGCTTCCCAATAAAATATGGCTTCCAAGGCTGACACTCCGCCAGATTGGTTCCACAGGCTAAACTAGTACCGTCTATATTTTGAGCGAATTTTTACCCTTCTGATCCACCCCATTTTTCTAAAGGTTATGTGTGGGACATCAATACAATGCAGGGAAGGGACTCAACCCAGCAGCAGACAATTGAAATGTCGTAATAGCACACAAATCTTTTCTTTAAAAAAATCAAACAGGAAACCAAACTCCTCAAAATAATTATTATTCATCACTTGGAGTGGAAGAATTATTCCCCGTTCTGGAAGCAACACATAGAAAATCAGGACAGAGAAATTACCAAGGTTCCTATTTCAGTGGTCCAAGAAAAAAAAATTGAGCTGTTATTTCCCTGGGCAGACCCCCTCCCCAAACTTCAAAATCCATCTAGTCCCCACTTTGGTTGTTCTCCAGGGCTTGGGTTAAAGAGGTAGTGGGTCTTCCATGTTTGGTTATCTTTTAATGCTTTCTTAAAGGATCTTAAAGGATCCACCTAGCTTTACGGCTAGTTCACAATTTTGCAATCTTTCGCAATTGCGAGAAGAAAGAGAGAAGAAAGAGAGCACGGTTTACTTTGCCGTTTTGTTTCACAGCTGACAAAATATCGAGCGCTAACTGAACCAAAAAAATCCAGCGAATATATGATGACTTGAAAAGCAGAGGTACCCTCACTTCAATGCCCAATGATAGTTAATTCTTCTGCCATTAAAGTGACTTTCTCCTTGACGGGATTTATTCCCGTGTTTTTACAAGGGCATATCAAACAATCCTCACAAAAGGGAACAGTTACTCTTTCATGGTATCAGTATTGTGCTCACCTAATGAGTCCCACACATATGCACGCAAACACACACGCCAAGCAAAAATAAATTCTACAATGCAGGCACAAAGGCTTGCATTCTCCCAGGGTGTTCATTGTCTACTTTTAAGAATAAGTACATCACAGGTCGAAGTAGGTTTAAAAAGAAAAAAAAGAAAGAAATGTTTTTTTCTCATGCCTGAGCAGCTGCACTTTGTATCAAAGCCACTCTAATCAAACTTACAAACAAAAAAGGTTTATTTATCGGATTTTTAAAAAAATTCAGAACGGCCAAGGAACAGAACAATAAATCAGGAAGTGACTGCTTCAGATCTTATTTCTGTGACACCCCTTGTTTCTTTGATACAGGTGCCACAGGGGGACAATAATATTGATTAACTTTACTGAATCGCTGCAAAGTCAAATCTAAGTGTAGTAAGCAGTTTGGAACATGATTAAAACATACGCAGAAATGCTAAATTAGCATCATCGTGGCACTAGTCGGAATCAATAAAATTACTCAAGCTGTGCAATGCTTTGGATTCCAGTCTGAAAAAAAATGTTTTCGGAGCGTGTGGGAGTTACGAATAGAGCATCTGTTACAACTCATTAAAGCAGTTGCATCTGTTTCTAGGCCTGATGAAGTTCTGAAAACAGATGCAGCAGCTTTAATGAGTCACAGGCAGGTGCTGCATTCTTGTTTCTCTATACTCTGAAACCGTAATCTGGAACAAAATCCAAAGCAATGCAAATCTCTATCAATTATATGTCTTTTTCTATTCTCTCTAATGATTGCATTCACATAACCAACTGAACCTAGTGAATCTACTGTATATTGTTTGGTGAGTCAGTTCCCTAGGTAGAACCAAACCAGGGAATGAACTCCCTAGGAAGTTCATAAAACTTTTTAAAAAACTGATATTGGGTGTAATAACAGAATCTTGCAAGTCCAATTTGTGCTCTTTCGCCTCCTTCTTATACTCCAGGGAACCAATGAACTGAGCTACTTCTGAATTGTATTTCATTGCTCTGGATTGAAAGAGAAAATATTCCAACCATATTTGTTAACCAAGGCTGTCTTCTCTCTTCTGTACATAGTGTAAAAGGGATGTAGTAAGTTTCTCATGTGACACGAAGAAGCATGTAAAAGTCAGTAAGGTGTCTTTGTTTAGATCTTAGTTTAGGGCGGATGTGAAGTTGGACCCACAATAAATATTAATGTAGTGATCAGTTAAAAAAACAGTCCATCAGATCCAAAGCTTAATCTCCAGCCAAGGCCCATTAGATCTCTTATCAACAGATATATGAAAATTGAAACAAGAGTCACCGTGTGAGTGAGAAGGGAAGTCTCTAAATTTGATAGATAAATAAGTAAAAATACTATCTGCATTTGCTGAAAAGTTGTAGATTTGTCTATTTGGCCTCTGAATTCCAGATCCAGTAAAACCCTTTCAGCCAATTTCATCTTTCTAACATTAGGGCTACCAACTCTCACCCCACTGCACAATTTTGCTGAATAACAACCCACATCAATTTTGACCCCTGGTGTTATGAATGATAATACTTCTAGTGCGAACGTTGGGGACAGAAACTTGAGGACCATTGTAACTGAATGGTAGTTAGGACCAGGAGTGGCCTGCTACGGGTTCGCCTGGATTCGAGAGAACCCTTAGCTAACGTTAAGGTTGGTTTGGAGAACCGCCAAATCCCACCCCTGGCTGGCCCACCCCACCCCGCTGTTCCCAGGAGTCTCCACCGGGCCTGTTTTGGGTGCGAGGTAAGTGCAGAACCCACGTGGAGGCTCAGGGAGGGTGAAAATGGGCCTGAAAGGCCTCCGGAGTCTGGGGGAGGCCATTTTCGCCCTCACAGAGGCTCATATCAACTCATAAAATATTTCTCTGGTCTTTTAGAGTTGCCAAAAGAAAGAGAGGGGAGAGCAGTGTGACAGCTTGCAAACTGAAACTGCATTCCATAAATGTTTTCAAAGATAGTTTCTAAGTGACTGAAGTTTTTGCTGCGCAAATTTCTAACTGGAGAGCAGGATTGATGACTCTTGGCTATGGAGGTGTCCCATTGGAGAATATGAATTATGATACACCCAGCGAGTGGGGGAAAACAAGGGTTAAAGGTGACAATGAATGATGTGTCTCAGAGTTGGCTACACCCAGGCAGCGCCAGGCATGT